TGGGGACTCTTTGGGGTTGAGGGTTTAGGGTTTAGGGACTGAGACTGTGTTTAGGGACTGCGTTTAGGGTTTAGGGTTGAGGGGGGCCAGGTCTTTGTCATAAAGGTTTGGCGAGAGGCTGTCCTTTGAAAGGTTTGGCCCTAAACCCTAAACCCTAAACCCTAAACCCTAAACCCTACTGCGCTCTCCTGGTCCTCGAGTTTCTTGATCCTCTGGTTCTGATGAACCGGAATCGCAAATAGGCTTCTATGGGCTGTGTGATTGAAATTTGGTTTCGCCGCATGATGAGGGTGCATGTGTTTAGGATGTATGATGAACCGGAATCGCCAAATCAGGGGACGTGGTTAAGATATATGATGAACCGGAATCGCCAAATGAGAGGGCAGTTTAAGATATATGATGAAACGGAATCGCCAAATGAGGGGGCGTGTCTCGAATATATGATGAAACCGGAACCGCCAAATGAGGGGCGTGTTTAGGATATATGGTGAAACCGGAATCGCCATATGAGGGCGGTGTTTCAGATATATGATCATCCGGAATCGCTAAATGAGGGGGCGTGATGAAGACTAACACATGATGATCCGGACTGGACTGTGTTTGCAAATGGGGGGGGGGGGCTGCCCCGCCTGCCCCCCCGCTTTTAAGCCGCGCAAGGTCGCCTTAAAGCATATGATTTTGTTTGAAACCCATCATGTTAGCATTGTGTTTGCAAATGGGGGTGGCTGCGGCCCCCAACCCCCGCTTTTTTGAGCCGTGCAAGCTTGCTTCAAAGCATATGAGTCTTTTCCGAAACGCATAATGCGATCTTAACGACAGGGCAGATTAAGATATATGATGAACCGGAATCGCCAAATGATGGGGCGTGAATTGCCAATTGAGGGGGCGTGTTCAAGATCCATGAGCACCAGCACCAGCAGCAGCAGCAGCAGCGGCACGGGAAGCAGCAGCACCAGCAAGAGCAGCAGCAGCAGCAAAATCCACAATAGCTTGACCTTTAAAAGTAGAGTCCCCCAAGAACTTCACGCAGAGGCAAACCCTTAAGATTAAGAATAGAATCCCCCAATAGCTTCGCGCCCGGGTAAACCATGAAAACTAGAATCCTCCCCTAAACCCTAAACCCTAAACCCTAAACTCCTAAACGTTAGGTTTCAGGATCAGGCTTCTGGAGCCTTCACGGACGCCTGGTTTCACGTCGGAGGGCAGCTTTCGCGGGTATGTCAGATCTTAAAGAAGCCCTAACCCAGAGAGCCCAATACCCCTTAAATACGGAATATACCTCAAATTATAGGGTTTAGGGTTTAGGGTTTTTTAAATCGAGAATATACCTTAACAATAGGGGCCCCTAATACTATGATTTAAGGTACATTCCTTGATTAAGCGGTTTTGGGCTCTCTGGGTAATCGCCCTGCTAGTAACCCTAATGTGCCTAGCCACAGTAATAACCCCAATACCCTTAAACTGTCCATAGGGGGTTGTGATCCCTAAGTCGCCTTCATAACCATCATGATCCTAGTAGCTCAAACAATCCCCAATAGCCCTAGGAAAACCCATAAAGCTAGAATATCCCCCTATAGCCCCGAGAAAACCCATCAGGGAGGTTTGAGCTGCCTGTGCCGGCGGCGCAGCCCTATACTATACTTTTCATGAGGAACCCCCAAAATAGTCCCTGAACCCTAAATCTATAACTACAATAAGGAACCCCTAAAATGCTATTCGAATTATTAAGGCCCCTACAGTATCCGCCTGGCCTGAGGCCATCATTCTGATCGTTTCGATCTCCCTCATGAACTTAGCCACTCCGCTCTTTGAGATCGACTCAGGTTTAGGGTTTAGGGTTCAGGGTCCAGGCTGTCCTGGGCTTTTGGGGAGGATCCATACTCCTCAACCCAACCCTAAACCCGAGGGTTCTGGGGTTCCGGCTGAGCAGCGGACGTTTGGAATTCCGAACCGCCAAGCCTGCTTAGGGTTTAGTTCAGGGGAGCCATAAACCTTGGACCCGGGATCCTTGAACAAGGTTTGTGCGCAGTGCTTTGGAAGAGCATCCGAACAGCCCGAAGGTGACAGCTGTTCTTGTTGAAGGAGCTCTGGAGAATGCTTCTCACGAAAGAGAAGCAGAGAAGCTGAACCTTCAAGAGAAGTTGAAGCAAGCTGCCTCTTGCTCGAAATCTTATTAGGGGGTTTAGGGTTTAGGGTTTAGGGGTTTAGGGTTTAGGGTTTAGGGTTTAGGGTGGCGTGGACGGATGATGACAATCGTTGATACTTAACGGAGAGATCACGGTTGCCATTGTCATTGTGCTCATTTGCTAACGCACTCGTTGTCGGCGTTATTGTCCCGATTGCTAGTGCCAACAACGATAAGGATGGTTGTTCAAACTGCATTTATCTACGCTTTCTTGGCAGAGGACGTTGTTTTGCACTGCACCCCAAGGTGAAGTTAAGGGCTTAGGGGAGGTCGCGGCGAGTTTGAGGCTCGGGGTTGGGGGGTTCTAAACCCTAAACCCTAAACCAACGGTTTTCAGGGTTTTTGCAAGCCCGCGGCCCGAAGCCACCGAAGCCGAAAGCCCCATTACTCCTAAACAGGTGCAGAGACAAGCCTGGGCCTAGACCCTAAAGCCCTGAAGCCTGTCCCTTAAACTTTGAGATTTTGTGAGTTTTCATCCTGGTAGAGGAATTTTGGCCGTTTCGAACAGCGAAGCTGCAAAGGTACCGAGACTGAGGGAAGTCTTTGCGGCCATGGATGCGAAACTTGGGTTAAAGGCAGAGAGGTTTCAGGTGTTTGGGGTCTTACGGGTTTTTGGGGTTTAGGTTCGTTTGTTCAGGGATGAGATAGGAGTTTGAGTTTAGGGTCCAGCGTCTCAATTTCGGGAGTTTGGGGATTTAGGGCAAGCCTCTTGAGGTTTAGATGTAAGCGGGGATCCTGTGTTTCGCGACGGCTCCTTTGCGGTGGTTATCAGGTTATCGGTTCATCGGGGGATGCAGGGTTTCCTCTTGCTGGGAGAAGTGTCGTGTGAAAAGCGGGCTGTAAGTAACACAGGCTCCAGAAAGGAGGGATTCCGGGCCGGTCACCTGTCCGTCGGGTGAAGAGACTAGGTTTGGAGTTTCTCTTGGCATCCGGGAGAGAGAGACCGCAAACCCTAAACTCTAAACCCTAAACCCTACACCCTAAACCGTTCTAAGGAACGGAGATGGCATGGTGTCGTTGGAGGACGGCGAAGGGTTCCTTAGCCTCTTGCCAACCCCTCCTGCAAAGGTGGGTTGCCCCAAAGGCAAGAGGCTGAAGATTCCGCAAACCCGAGGCCCCAAACCCAAAGCCCCTATAAATCTGCAGCCGTAACCCCTAAACCCTTAGCCCTCAACCCTGAGCCTTACACCTGCTACTGGCGAAGCAGGGAGAGCCGACCCAAGAGATTTCCAGACGGTGCCCTTTTCAGGTAATCTACTCCGTTCATCCTTACTTCCACAGTAGGTCGTTGCTTAAAGTCTGCCTCACGGGCAACCTGGTAGTTCTCATGGTTGACTGGTGCCCTTGAGCTCTAAAAGCCAGGGAAACGGTCCCTACGAACCGCAGGCTCTCAACCCAAAGCCCGAAAGTACCCCAACCCCATGTCCAGAGGGTGTGGAGGGCTGGGGAATTAGTTTAGTTCGGAGAAGTCTTGTGTCTAAGGATTCGGCTTGGGGCTTGAGCGTGCTTTCGTTTCAAATCCTCAGGAGCTCAAGATTGAAGCATCTAGCGTGATATTTTCAGCATAATGGTCCAGTGCTGATGGCGTTTCGGCCTGCAGGGCTTGCTATCGAGGTTTAGGGTTTGGGGCTCGAGCTTGATTCCACCTGCGAGGTTTTCAAGAAGCAAAGCTCCAACACTAAACCCTAAACCCTAAACCCTAAACCCTTAACCCTAGACCCTAAACCCTAAACCCTACTTTTTAAAAGCAAAGCTCCAACATCGCCAGGAGATCGAGGCGGTGCCCATGGACGTCATACCCAAAGAGTTCTTTGAGAAGAACTCGGTGGGCAGCATGCAGGTCTGGAGCAAAGAAGTTGCCTTTTTTTGGGGGTGGGTTTTAGGGTTTAGGGTTTAGGGTTTAGGGTTTAGGGTTTTAGGGTTTTAGGGTTTAGGGTTTAGGGTTTAGGGTTTAGGGGTTTAGGGGTTTTAGGGAGCCCAGAAGTTTTTAGGGCATAGGGCTGTGGTTCAGGGTTTAAGGGTCCTGGGGGCGCAGCCTCCGGGTGTGCCGAAGATGTAGAATTTCAGCTTGCAAGCCAGACACCCTGGCGAAGGGAGCCGCAAAAAATTCAAGAGCACCTTAGCCCTAAGCCGCCAGCCCCGGGAGGATCTGAGGGTGCTGTGTCCTTTAAGCCAGGATCGAGAAGGATCGAGAGGTCTCCCGATTCTGGCTTAGGGAAAGCCGCCAAAAACCTAAACCTACCGGTGCTCTGCAGCTCGCAGCACGCATCTGAAAGACGTCTGTTGCAGGAAATCTTCGAATGTTTGGATGTTGACGGCGGGGGCGAGCTTTCTCAGGAAGAGTTTGCCCGGAGCCGAGTTCCCAACAACATGAGCCTTGTTAGGGTTTAGCTGAACCAGGCACCTCGGAAGGGGGGTCATGATGAAGGTGCGTAATATAGGGGCTTCAATAATTGCCTACATCATTTTGGGGGTTCCACTCTTATAATTATAGGATCATGGCCCCCCAAAACCCTATTCTAACTATGAAGGCCCCTATATTAGCTGTAGAAGCACACAACCACTCCCTCTGCTTCAAAAGTATTTCCCTGAGCAGTTCTTCCGCAAGTTTCAGGGAAACACCCAAGCAACAGCAGATCTGGTGAATCGAACCAAAGTTGCTGGCCTCAAAACCCGAAGTCGTTTATTTAGAGCTCGGAGCTTAGAGCTTTGAAGCCCTAAACCCTAAGAATCTTCGGGCACAGCTTCGGGGCGGCTGCTGAGCACTCGGGTTCCTGTTGAGGTGCCCCGGTGCTCGTCCTACCTTTCGCTTGGGTAGCCAAAGCCATCGAAGCTCTAAATCCTTCAATTTCTTCTTTGGCGTTTCCTTTGGCGTGGCGTGCAAGCCCCTAAATGGCCCTAAACCCTGCCGCAAAAAAAATTCCAACCTCAACCCAAACCTCAAGTCTGAGCCATTGTAGTTAACCTTTATGGAACCTTCTCCATTCTCTCTGAGATCCCTTAAACCGACAAAAGGTCGATGGGCTGCTGGACATCTTCTTCCGCGATGTGCCGCTCGAGATGCTCGCCATATGCGGCCATTGTTTAGGGCTTATGTGTGTAGGGTTTTAGGGGGTTCAGGACTCTGGGTTTTGTGTTTCTTCAGAGTTTCGGGCTTCCGGCCTGGTGTTTTTAAGCGTAATGTTCATGTGCAGAGGTCTGCGGTGGCGGGTGGAGGAAGGGCTGTCGAGCCTCAGTGCGTGCCGCCGCAGAATGACATGAATAGTTGCTTAAAGCCTTGCACCCCAAACCCTGAACCTTAAACCCTAAACCCTAAAGCCCCAAGCTCTAAACCTCAAGCCCTCAAACAAAAAACAACCTAAAACCCTAAACTCCTAAACTCTAAGCAAATAGCAACCTCAAAACTCCTAAACTCTAAGTCCAAGAATCCCAGGACCGTGCAGACTCTGAAGATGCTCCGCATGCTGGAGACCCGGATCCTTTGTCACAGTTGGGTAACATTTTACATTTTTAAGGGTTTAGGGTTTAGGGTTTAGGGTTTAGGGTACTTAAACCCAATAAGGAATATAAATTAAAATTGTTAATACTACCCCAACCATGAACTAGGATAGAGGGCCTCGCTGGGACCATCGACGCGGTGCAGCAGAAGCTACCAGCGCCTTGGGCCTTCGTGGGATGAGTTTTTTGAGGGAGATTGCAGGTTCTTCCGGGTAGGAGGGCTCTTTTGGAGTTCAAGGTGTAGGAATGGATTTCTGAAATCAGGGTTGGGTGTTGAAGTTTTAGGGGCTTCTGTAAGTGTTTGTCTTCTTGGGTTAGCAGGACCATTGCCGTCCTGATGAGCATGCTCTTTGTGGTTATCACAATTGTGAGTATTCTTGGGATCGAGACGGGGGCTGTTCCACACACCGTAGACTCTAGGCCTCCAAGCCACACGCCCTGGAGGGTCCATGGTTTGGGGCGTAGTTTTTTTTTTTTTTACGGATGCCATGCGCACGAGAGTTTGCGACCATGCCGTTTCAAAAAAACCCGATTGCGCGTCGGCGCAGACTCGAGGTGGAGGCGAAACTGAGAGCTGATGTGGATTATCGGCTTTAGCCCTAACAGGTCCTTGGGGGATAGGGTTTAGGGTTTAGGTTTAGGGGTATAGTGTTTAGGGGTGTAGAGCTTTGCGTTTAGGATGGTTACTTTACCCACCACTCCTACTTGCCACGTCCCCTGATTCTGTTTTACGAACCACCGTGTTCTGCGAGCTTTCCGATGTCGCAGGCGACAAAGAGACGCTTAGACAGCTTGAAAAGACCGGGGTCGAAGCCTGAAGCCTGCAAAAGGTGCTGGTCAAAATACTACACTTTTGGGTTTGGGTTTAGGGTTTAGGGAACCGTAAACCCCAAACAAAGTCTAGTGTACTTCATAAGACTAAACCCCACATGCTTGTGTAGTAAACATCCTTAGACAAAAGGCCACCGGAGTGTTACACCCCATACTAGTAAGGACCATAAGACATGCAGGGTCCCTCGAGGTGCAATAGAATTCTTTGAAACCCTGTCGCAGGCTATCAGACCCCAAAACCCTACAAGGCCTAAAGCACTACACAGTCAACTATCAAACCAGAAGAGCCTTTCGAAACCCGGCAAAAAATCTGTCCGTACCCTAAACCCTAAACCCTAAACCCTAAACCCTAAACCCTAAACCCTAAACCCTAGCTGATCCTTCCCAGGCTCCTGTGCCGGCGCGGGATGTCGAGGAATGGGTGTTCGGGTTTTGAGGGTTTCCCCTTCCCAGAGAGCCCAATACCCCTAAACTCAGGCATAGACCTTAAATCATAACATTCAGGCCCCTATAGTTTAAGGTACATTCCTTATTCAAGGGGTATTGGGCTCTCTGGGTTATTACTTATCAAGGATACCCGCTCCAATCCATAACTTCGAGCATGTCATCAGCGCTGGATTTGAGCTCAAGGGTGTGCGGGTGTAGGGGTAGGGTTTCTGGTCATGGTTTGGGGTTTTGGGTCAGGGGTTTGGGGTTTTTGGAAGCCCTTCAACCATCGTCTTACGACCCTAGACTTTGAATCTCGTGTTTCATTAGGGAGGGTTTGAACTGAGTGTTTAATAAAATGCTCCATAGTATTACTTTGAGAGGGTTTTTGTACCATTTCACAAGGGCTTCCCTGTTGGGTTTACTTCGTGAGAACCCCGAAACCCTAAACCCTGAGAAAACTCGAACAGACCCTGACGTAATATAAGGGCCTAAGTTGGCCTAAGTAATTACCAATATTTTGGGAGGTCTTATTCTAACTCATGGTATAATGTACCCCAACACCTTATTCTATGTATTAAGGCCCCTTTATCATAGAGCCCCTAGAGTCTAGAGGAACCCTTTAAAAGGAGCCCTTTAAAGGGAACCCTTGTTCGAATAATTAATACGCTTATATTAGAATCTTCAGTTTTACCCTAAACCCTAAACCCTAAACCCTTTTCGAATAATTAAGACGCTTAAAATAGAATCTTCAGTTTTAGCATCCTGAGCCTGACCCTGAATCCCAACGTAGGGTTTAGGATTTAGGGACGGTTTAAGGGTTTAGGGTTTAGGGTTTAGGGTTTAGGGTTTAGGGTTTAGGGGCCCGCCTGTTACGGTTCTACTGGATTTCAAGGTTTCATAGAGTGTAGAGGTATACATCAGTATCTGTATCTATATCTAGATCCTACACCTATATCTAGATCTAGATGTATATCTATATCTGTATCTATATCCATATCCAGATCTAGATATATATCTATATCTAGGTCTGGATCCAGGTTTAGATCCATATCTGCATATATATATATATATATTTATACTTATATGTATGTATGTATATATGTATGTATGTACGTAGGTAGATACGTAGGCAGGCAGGCAGGTATGTATGTATTATGGGCTTACATACCACACCAGGTCGCTCCCGTAAGTGTGCGGTGTTTGGGGATCTGAAGTCTTAGGGTTTAGGGGTTTAGGTCTTTAGGCCTTTAGGGCTCAGGGTTTAGGGTTTAGGGTTTAGGGTTTAGGGTTTAGGGCTCAGGGATTTTGAAGTCAAGGTTTCGGGGCATGAGTGTGTTGGGAGTGTGTTGGGTAAAAAGAGGGGTGTGGAGTAGATCGGACGCAGGAGCGCCACGAAGCCGCGTGTCCCTGTACAACACCTTGGCGATACTACTACTAGCTCTAACCCATAGCAAAGTACCAATAGCCGCAACTATGAAGCAAGCCTTCCATTTACAGGAGAAGGCAGGCACTCATGGGGATGCCTTCCGAAAGCTGCTCACATAGCTGGCAGGCGCTTGTGCCCTAGCTTGTGATCAGTTACGGTTTCGGGCTTAGTTCGGGCGTTAGAAAATCCTCTCCGAATACGGAGGTCCAAAAGATTCCATTATTATAGTTTTGGATGAGCATGTACTACAATTATATCAGGGAACCCCACGGAAGAAGATGACCGAGCAGCCCGGCCTAGTATTGCTCCGCAAAATCCCAGAAGATGCACGTGGAATGGGATTTCACTAAGGCTTCTTCGATCCGCCGTTGTTTTTCTAGGGGCCCGAAGGAATGGAAGCCATCCTTGCTCATGGGTAGTTCTCTAAATTAGGGTCCTTTTTTGGGATCCTTTCTATAAGGGTGCCGTACTATATTGAAGATGGCTTTGGGGTGTAGGAATGCAAGTGAGCCTTAAGACAATTGGAGTCTGTCGAGTGCTCATCATGGGTCTTTATTCAACTTGAAGGTTTCGGAAGGTTTTCATTGTATCTTCAGGATCCTAATATAGGGACGTTAATACTTACCTATATTATTTTGGGGGTTCCTTATTATAATCTTGTAATCATTGTAATCATAGTATAATATACCACCCCAAACCCTATTCCAATTATTGAGGTCCCTCCATTACCACTTGCGGAGTCCTCTAGGGTCCCTTGTTTTTCTGGAAGTACCTAATAGGGTTTAGGGTTTCGGGCTTTGGGTTTAGGGTTTAGGGTTTAGGCTTGAGGGGTTTAGGGGTTTAGGGTTTAGGGCTTTGGGTTTACGGAATCTACTTAGCGTTTTATTGCACACCAACCTTTTCTTCTTCCAGTCGGTTTAAAGCTTGACGTGGTCGCAGCAGTGTCAAAGCGGAGACCCAAGAACAACTGTCCTGAGTCCTGAGCCTAATTTTTTGAGGAACTTTTCAAAGAAGCGATGCTTAATCGAACCTATCTTTATCGCACCTTTTACCTCCAGTTGAGGCCCTTGAACATTGAAGCGCCCAGCCTTATAATCCAAGAGTTCGACACCTTGCAGCAAAGGCATGCCAGCAGGCTCGTGCCGTGAATTGCGCGCAGCACGTGCGATAATGCCTGGGCAGGCCTTGGGTGGGTCCTGTGGCCTTCTTGAGCTCAATCTTTAGGGTTTACGGTTTAGGGTTTAGGGTTTAGGGTTTAGGGAGTATGGCTAGTCTTCTTGTTAGTGTTTTGGACAATACCATCAGTAGTGGTAAGCCCCAAAGCCGTAAACTCAGCAGAGCAATGAGGCCAGTCTTATGCCATCCCGTGCCACGGTCCAACCCTGCACCGAAACCCTGAGCCGCTTCAGAAACCCTAAACTGATTAAGCTTAGTGAATTCTGAACCCTTGACACCCTAAACCCTAAACCCACACATTATATCCACATACCCTAAGGTCCCAAAGCACTAAACCCACCCGATGTCGGCCTCAGATCACAGCCAGCTCGATCTTTGCACCCGCTTTTGCCCGACAGGGGAGTGGTAATGTCTCCCTGTGTTTCAGGGTTCCCAGAGTTTACGTGCGTAGTTTTTCTAAATTGGGGTCCGTTTTGGGGTTCTTTTTATAAGGGTGCCGTACTACATTGGGGACCCAAAAAGGGACCCTAATTCAGAGAGCTACCCATGTGGCTTTTTACGTCTCGACTTAGGGTCTCCATTTGTCGGGCATGGGTTCAGGTTTCGCAGCTGTCGAGATCTCCTCCGGCAGGGAAGGCTCTCGAGGGCTAAGATCTAGAAGTTAAAACCTCTGGTGCCAAGCCTCTCTCTCTGTCCCCAGAGAGCCCAATACCCCTGAATTAAGGAATATACCTTAAACCATAGGGGCCTTAATATTATGATTTAAGGTATATTCCTGAGTTTAGGGGTATTGGGCTCTCTGGGTCTCTCTGTCTCGCTAAGCCAAAAACTCGAAACCCTCTCCCTTTAGGCCCCAGGCCGAATGCTCGCAGCCGATACGATTCGATACCATACTATAACATACTATACAATACGACGAGACTGCAATATCCCTAAATCCTAAGCCCTAAGCTCCCTAAACCCTAAGCCCTAAACCGTAAACCCTCGACCCCTAAACCCTAAACCCTAAAAAGAAGCCCTAAACCCACTCGGTAGCTCCAGGGGCGTCTTTCAGGGCTTGGCGGTCTTGCGGTTGGATTCTCAACAGGGCCTACGGTTCAGGGTTTATGCTTAAGGATATAGGGTTTAGGGTTTAAAGTGTAAGTTTTAGGATTTAGGGCTTGAGGTTTAGGCTTTCATGTCGTCATAGGTGCTTCAGGTTTTTGGGTGGAACGCCCCGGTCCCCAACCCTGCCCTCATCTCGAACTTGCGCTTTGGTACACAAGAGGGATCTTGAGAGGGCTTTGTCTAAGCCCATTATAGGTGGGT